AGTTTTATAAACCGACTCGTTTAACACTTTTCTCATGACACCTCATGAAACCACTGACTCAGGAGCTAAACGGACACCTTAGATCGCATCATGCAAATAACATGGAACAACCAACTCTATCAAAACCACTAACCAAAAAAATGCAGTAGCTAAAAGCAACTTACTGTTCAGACATTTTGCAAGGGGGAAACTGGTTTTATTGTATCACGATCTAAAATTTGGTCAAGAATCAGAGAATACAAAGACTCTAGAAATACACACTCTGAGTTAGCCTTTCACTAAGAGCGTGCATACTACGAAGCAGGCATTTATCGAAACTACATGCCGACTTTACATCAAATGTGAAATGATGGATGAAATTAATGTTGTTGTGGGTGCGGGCAGAAGATAAGGGTTGAGTTCAGAGTGGATAGCAAGCATACAACAAGCAACGTAGGATAAGTGGAATAGCTGAAGCTGCAGGGAAGTCGCTTCTAAAAATTCCACTACTAACGTCAACAACCACGAACTCACCAACTCAGCAAGCTAACTCGTAGGCTAATGTAGCGATTTATAAAGGGCGCAGACACATTGGACCATATTGGCCTCAGCCAATCCTCTGCTTCTTTGCTTTCCAGTGGCATGCGAGGAAGTTATGCAGCCAACCAGAGACAGTCACGTCTAAGAAGTAGTATATTGTGAGCGGCGTAGCCAGAGTGGTTACGCGGATGGACGGCGCCTGGCTTATGGTCATGGCTTGTTATTGGTCAGTAAAGCCTGTTTAATTTTCCAGTCTCTTTCATAGTAGGGTTAGAGAATTCTACACTAATGAGAATCCTCAAGGTCGATGAAAGTGTAAGGAGGCATGGTGCTAGTTGTTTTTAACAAGCTTTTACATCATCAATTTAACGTTACTTCGTTTAAATTACTTGAAAATAGAATCGGACGCCATATGTTCCTGACAGCAATATTTTCGGGATGCAGAGAATGGGCGTGTCTCACCCTTTACTATCTTTGTTGGAAATCAGGTAGATGTGTGAAACTTTTTAATATTAATAATATAATCTTAGGTCATGGCATTAAATCACTTGACTATACGGATGCCAGTATCTAATATTGGACTGTCCTTGGTACGGACAGTTTAGCGTTGATAAATTACCATCTATTTTTTCCCAGCGTTTAATTGAGGTCGTGAATCAGAGGCTCGATAATTAGCACTGCAATTGTAGATATGTCGATTTAAGTCCATATTTTTGTGCACTATTTTAAGGTTATTACGCCTTTTTTAGATGTCAATATATAAGATAGGATAAACCACGTGTTTCCAGACGCCACCCTGCTTCACACCCAAATAGAGATTGCTAATTTATTTGGCATGCACAATCTGAGAATACAAATTGAATATCATTATATTTCATACAAGACTAAGATAAACTTTACTTATACCTCTGGATTTCACTTTGATCTCTGACCAAGTATTAAAAGGTATTAATTATTTTGTAAACGGATGCTAGGATCTACGAATCCACTTCGCATATTGTTACGTTTGCCCGTAACAATAGAGAAGACCACTCAAATAACGGTACCAGATCCCTTGCTGAAAGCTAGAACCGACCTTCCCAGGCTAATACCAGAACAAGACCAGAGCTCGTGTAGAGAGCTGTATTCACGTCAGCCACGTGCGGTGTGCAGTCCGGAAGTCGAACAAATTCAAGTCAGGTTGACCTTGACTTGATAAAAAGTGTAGCAAAACAAATGTTAGTGAATAACTGTAAATAGCATCAGAAACCAATCTTGGGGAATCGTGGATCCCCAACACATATATGTTACTGAAGGATCGAAAGCGATAAAAACATTTACTACGAAAACAATAATTGCAGGAATGCTATATCAGGGAAATCTATAGTTGCACAGCATTGACCTCAAAATTTAATTACTACAAAGAGCTAAACCAGCATATGGTAGCGTGTTCAATGACTATTTATCGCTCTTCAAGATACCTAAAAATCATGGAAATGAAAATTTAAATGTGGGTACTTCACCACATATGAGCCACCAAGTTGAAAAACCAGGATACCCAGGTAAAATCATGGCGACTAGGGAGTCAGCCACAGGTTTACTCAATTTACACTAAACGATTCTGACGTACAGGCTGGGTTGCAGGTGCCTTAGTAGCGCTTGTTTAATTATAACAAATGTTTGAAGGATGCATATTGAATAGGTTCCAAATACTTACTGCAGCTATTTCATTGATTTTTTCACAAAACCGCTGAATCAATGGACCTTTTGTGGGCTGCTGCATGCGGTCTTGGACTACGCCGGGGCCAATTAATTAAATCTGGCCAGATTACTCTTCCTCGATACCCGCGATAAAGGAAAAAGACCTGAGAGAACGTGGACACAATCGCCTACTTTCGAGATCAACCACGTTGGTGTTTTTGTGTCGTGGATATTGTTTGCGCTTGTGTATTTATTCCTCAGATGTGTGAGTCGTTCATGCGCTAGCATCAAGACCTAGGTGTAAGGACATTCCCAGATAAATATTCGTGCGAATGAGGGGAAGTCGAAGATCCGCGCGGCCGGCGACATGCTGGCAAAAGGGGAACTCTGTGTCGGAGGATGGAGCAACCGGTTTAAGGAGTGTGAATAAGCACGATTAACAGTAGACTCGGTTTATTTCTACAGAGATTATTACGCACTTTGACAAGCTACACACTGAACTATTTCACAATGAAGCATGCTTTGTGACTGCAAAACTTAAACCAGATGTATTTCATTATGGGTGAGAATGATGAATTCTCTGAGGAAGAAGCCCCTGGGTGGTCTGTGCGCAGGACTTGTTACGCAGTGCACTGAGCATTGAGCATGGACAAAACCAAACGTGTCCTCTAAGTCTTAAATTTTGTCTTGCATAGTGATTTCAATTGATATTTCGTTTCTAGCTTCCGGCAACAAAGTAGGTCCGAAGCGGCTACCGTGGCTGTTTTAGTTTTTGTGGCGATGTGTTATGGAACTAAGGCATTGAAATAGTGGCAACTGTATTCATGAATGACTTGCAGTAAATGGTCTACCCGAATGTGGAGACGAAAGTAAGAACTGCTTGAGCAAAATAGAATGTGACGTCACTTAAAACAGTTTCTTTTCTTACAGGGCTCTGGTCTTGAACATGTCTCACAACTTTATATTTGTGTAGTTAAATTAGCCATTTACCGTGGAGTACCGATATTGCATAAGTTATATACAAAGTTATTCGTGGAAGTCTCTTCATTTTTTACACGAAGCTGTTATAAATGAGCACAGGCCTTCATTGTTGGTGCTCTGAGTGTATTCACGGAGGGTTCAATGATTTCACCTGTTGCGTGCTTGCATTCGCCACAATATTTTTTCGAGGAATTCAGACAAGTATCTGCATTATTAACACATTGTCAAGCCTTACATAAATGTGGTGCTTAGAGCACAGAGGTAGTAGCAACAATTGTTTATTCAGACTCAGATTTAGCCCTAATTTCTTTTTACTCCTATGGTCAATGCAACCCCAGCAAGCATAAGTAGCGCATTGGTCATGATGCTTGGTATTTGCCTGAGGCAGCATTGGGATGATGGTGCTTGAAGAAGACAGAATGCACGCGTCGTCCTCATGGTATGATCAAGAAGAGAGCAAGACAAAATGAAGTTCTTTAATAGAGTCTGGAATTAGCTACAATCTGGTCGATCGCACGGAGGAAGACAGGGTCTTTATATGTCCTTGTACTGATCGTCCTGTTCTCCCAGTGGTCCGTTCCGCCGCACTGTAATGGAGACGGAAAACTCGCTAGCGGAGTGGCTCTCAGTTTCCGCTTCGTAATTCAAAGCCCGTGTGACGCCAAGAGGCCGGAATTTGAGACCCCGGTCACATGCTGTCGCCACCATGCCGTGATGTTCACCAAAATGGTGACCATATGCTATTCCACTACACTGGCCCCCCCCAAAAAAAACCGAATCTGACCCCAGCTTCTACTCGACTATGAATGCAGCTATCTCAACCGCGTGATCTACCGGAGATGGTTCACAGTACATAAGGGACTCGTCACCAGCCTCCTCCATCGACAAAACATATGGGTTCGAGCTTACTAAAATGAGCAGTGAACTCTTGGCCTAAACTGTCGACGAGACTATCAACGAGGTGCACACGTTGCTTCACTAAGGACCTTGTCTACAATTTCTGGTCCTTCCCACGAATTTTGGAATTTTCTGTTTTCGCCCGCTGCATTCGTCGTAGCCATTCACACTAGGTCACCATCCTCGACAGGGGTACCATGCGCCCGTTTATCATAATAGTGCTTATGTCGCTAGTGAGCTAAGGCTAGCTGTGACCTGGCTTAGTCGAAAAATCAACGCAGTTGGCCTCGTACGTCAGCAACGTATTCGGAAGGTCCTGCGTAATCTGGCTCTCGAGGTGGAGGTGCCCCGCAACATCGCCCAGAAGCCGCAACTCATGTCCGAAGGTCATTACTGTTGGAGTTAGACCAGTGAAAGAGTGCACAGCAGACCTGTATGCTGCTGCCAATGCATCGTTCTACTAATTTAACGCATATTTATCGTGATGTAGTCTCAAAAGCATCTTAAGTGTTCTGTTTGTTTGTTCGACGCGTCCATTCCCTTGGGGGTGATATGCTGTACTACGACTTCTGCGAATGCCTAACAAATAGCACAACTCCAAAAGCAACGAGCTTTCAAATTGGCTACCTCTGTCCGTATCAATTTGGAAGGGCTGCCCACGATCAGCAACCCATCCTATCTCATTACTGTAGAATAGCCAAGCCATAGTATGAAGAAGACTGGTACAACATAACAGGCTTTATTGACCAATCACAAACCAAAACCACACGTCAGGCGCCGTCCATCCGAGTCCACCACGATGACTGTGCAGCCCATTATATATGGCTTCTCGAACATGTCTGTCTCTGGTTGGCTGCATATCGTCTTTGCATGCCATTGGAACGCAAGGAGACAGAGAATTGGCTGAGGCCAGGTGGTCCAATATGTCTGCGCTCTCATATCCGTCGCCTGTAGAATACCCGAGCCCTAGTAGGAAAAAGACCGGTACAACAGAACAGGCTTTATTGACCAATCAGAGGCCAGAGCCACGCGTCAGGCGCCTTCCATCCGAGTCCACCACGCTGGCCACGCCGCTCATTATATATTGCATCTCATCCATGTCCTTCTCTGGTTGGCTGCTTATCTTCCTCGCATGCCATTGGAACACAAAGAGACACAGGATTGGCTACGGCCAGGTGATCCAACATGTCTGCGCCCTAATCCGACGCCACTGTAGGTTTCGGCCCCATGGTATAGTGAGGAAGAGAATGAGACAAGATGATTTTTCTTTAATAAAGGATGAAACTCGCAACGCTGGTCTGAATCTGGTCAGTCCGTATAGGGAAAACAGGGGGTTTATATATCCTAGTTCGGTTCTTCCTGTTCTCCCATTGGTCCGTCCCACGTCGCTACAATGGAGACAGAAAACTCGTGAGCGGATTGGCTCTCAGCCTCCGGCGCGTAATTCAGTGCCCGCACGTCACCACGCAGCCGGAAGTCGCACCACCGGTCATGTGATGTCGCCTCCGCGCCGTGCTCACACCGTCACCAATATGGCTGCCGCCTGTCATTCCGCTACACCACACTGCCTCCCCCTTAGGAGTGAAGCTGTCCTCAGCTTCTGGCTTGGTTCACCGCACTGTTGTCGAGATCCAGTGTTGGTAAAATATCCAGTTCGACACTCCCCGCACCCCACATCTGGCAGGTTAGTAGCCCATGCGAATAGTTGATGAGGGACTTTGCTCTTGTAGACTTGCAGGAAGGACTCATCATCCATTGAAGGTCCATTCGCAGATGCAGTCCAGCTGGCTTTCACTGTCCAAGTCGTCGTCGCTGAATTGCCAAGCCTCTTCAGATGCAGTATTCCTAATCCCGGGCAATGGCTATGGATCCAGTTTATTGGACATCGGACGACCGCCATGACAACTCCAGCTGGCATTCAGGGGTCTTTGCCTGTGTTGACCATAGAAGAGAAAGGGCTGGGGTTCGATTTGCGTTATTCGAACGCATCCGCTGCCACCATTGTAGAATACCCGAGCCCTAGTAGGAAAAAGACCGGTAAAACAGAACAGGCTTTATTGACCAATCAGAAGCCAGATCCATGCGTCAGGCGCCTTCCATCCGAGTCCACCACGCTGGCCACGCCACTCATTATATACTGCATCTCATCCGTGTCCTTCTCTGGTTGGCTGCTTATCTTCCTCGCATGCCATTGGAACACAGAGAGACACAGGATTGGCTACGGCCAGGTGGTCCAACATGTCTGCGCCCTGATCTGACGCCACAAGCCACACTAGAAGAAAATTTGTTTTTGGTGTCTGACGTCATTACACAAAAGCAGAGTTTGTGGGTTGATGCGGATAAGGCAGTGCATCCATAATGGGTACCCGTGGCCATGGAAATTAGGGTTCAATCGGAATAACTAACTAATAAGACTGCAAATAGTTTCAACGAGTGGATTCTAATGTTGCAGAACACTGATTCCCTTTTTAGCAATGTGGTCTTAGTCGCCTCTTCATGCTTTGTCAATTGCACCTTAAATCAATAAAATCAAGAAAACTGTTTTCCATGTATTTAATGATGTGTGGATTTAAGTTTTGATTGGTTTACCCCTCTGCGAAATGTCACAAAATCGGTTCTAATTTAGGCGAATTTCTAAAAAGCACAATCAGTTTCTTAAGCATTTAAATTGAGTCATGTGGACACATTGGGATATTACACCAGTGGTTGAGGACAGTGAAGAGAATTGGCTTGAAAACTGCACCATGGCCGGCGATAAACGCTGATATGGCCAGACCGAAAGAAGAGTAGAAATACAGATGACGAGTCGATCAAAAACTTTTTTGATGCAGCAGTAGTGTGTGTGTACAGGGTGGCATGTCAATTTATATGGGATCGGCTACTACCGATCCCTGAACGAACACAGTTACGTGAAGGGCGTTCACGCAAATCAATTGAATAATGTTCGCTCACGACTGCTAACTGTGCTCGCCCACTACTCGCCACATGCTCATGCATGAGGACGGACAATGGTGCCAGCATTCAATTACGCATGACTTAATGCAGAGGAAGTTTACAGTACCATATAGCCTGATCACTACAAGGCATTTCAGTCAATGTTCACATAGCCCAAAACAGAGTTCTTTCCTTACACTTAAGTCAATGAACTTGGTCTCTATGATTACAAATCTGGTTGGCTTCAAGGAGGTCCGGTAAATCTACCGCAAATTTACCATGCTGAATTCGTCTGAGTTCACAAACGCCGTAACGTGTTTACTGAGTAGGGACCTATACGGGACGTTACTGTCAGGCCGTCCGTCAAAGGTAGCCACACCATCAGGGTTGATAATAAGCCTTGACATGCAACACAAGACAAGTGGTAGAAGGACTGTGATGTGGTCAAGACTAGCGCAAACGAAGGCGGAGGGGAAGGAGCGGAGGAAGGGAGCTGGCAGGAGAAGGGGGAGAGGATTGCCGCAGAGGTAGTCAGGCTTAATCCGCAGGCCCACTAGCGTGATTTCAGGAAAACAGGATAAAAAGGGGATATGAAGAACATGGGACAGGCCAGACTGAAGTGTACAGCAAGCATGTGAAAATGGATGCATTCTGGAGAACAGACTGATATTTCTCTTCAAGATGCAGTAAGGAGATACGTAGAAAGCGAACGAGAGTTATCTTAACATAGTTAAGTGTTCTATATTGTGGGAAGTAGACTTCCAGGCAAAAACAGAGCCAGCATCAAACCCCGTACTAGACAAGTAAATTGGGCACACTTTGTGTTCATAAGTGCAAAACGAGCATTAGTGTTCTTTATGTGTTTGATTTGAGCAGAAGCACCAATTTTCGAAAATGATTTAAATAACAACTATGTTTAGATTTTTGGTGGCAATTTCCTCAGTGATACACTGCTGCTGATGATCATGTTACTAATTCTATAAATCGATGTGTTGAATGCATTACAATAAAAGTTGTGGCAGTCCCTCGATGCGGTTTTGGGAACCACACCGGGACCGACGATCTGCGTCGAGAAGGTCCGTCCGAAGAAAGCGAAGGAATGCAGGTAGTGAGCAGCCCAACTCATATATTGGTGCGTGGTGGTGTGTGTGTCGGTGGACAAAATAACAAGGGCGCTTTTAGCTTCGCTAAGCATCGGTCCTTGAATGAACAGAGTTACGTGACGTGCATTCACGTAAACTAATTGAATCATATTAGCTCACGCTTGCCAATTGCTTTTGGTCACGATTGCTAACTGTGCTTCTTTGCTACTACACACACAAAATTTTTGATTTCTTCTAGCTCATATGCTCTTGTGCGCTTTGATCGCGATTCCTTTGGACAAAGATTTACGTAATTGCGTTGCTTAAGCTTTCGTGCACTTATCCACGCATAAATTTCAACTAAATCGATGCGTGAGTAACATTAATGACCCGTAGATTAATTGCGTCAAAGCTTAGTTGTCTTATTCCAGCTCAATTTCGCTGACTAGCGGTGATTATGCAAAACACCGGTTGCTGAACCAAGACAATGCATTGAAACCAGACGGTAATTTGACTGCCATGACACTTTTCTTGATTGGATACCGTGGGGTAAAGAATAATTTAGTCATTTAAAAGCGGGTCATACGTTTTGCAAAATCAAATCCACTCACCTCCTTTACAACAACTTAGGCCACGGAAGTTGGCTCTTAACAACAGGTTGATTTTGACTGGTAGACTTAACATTTGTGGTGAGCGTGAATGTTTAAAATTATCTTTAGAGAAGCACACAGCCTTACCAGTGCCACTAATTTGTTTAGCTGATTAGGTTGGACGAGTAATGCCCAAGTATTTTTACAAAATTCATTGAATTACAGAAGTGTAGGTTTTACAAGAACTCATCTTAAATCATCTCGATACCCTTGTAAAGCGACTTACGTACTCTAATAACATGTATTTTTTGGTCACTAATATGGAAATACGCATAGGACCACGAAGTAATCTGCCTTGCAAAGGTCACCAAAAGTTGCCTTCGGCCCCGGTCTGAACAATACACACCATTCCTCCGGCACTCATTGTCACTTGCGCAAAAATTCCCCAAAAGCGGCTCAACTACTCCGTAAGGGAATCGATGCGGGATTTCGAAAAAAGCGTCTTCGTGACTTTTATTCAGCGGTAAAAAAATAAGAATAATCAGGTAACAAAATTCAGCCATGGTTACCCAAAGCGCAATCACTGGAGCACAGGTACACCACAAAGCAGAACAACA